GTCGCTGACTGAAGCCTCTAGCAACGTAACGTGCCTTGAAGGCAGGCGGAGAACCCGGCGGCCGCTTCACCCTGAAGATCCACATGCCATTGAATATGTTTGCCCCAGGTGGGGGAACCTCGTCGACGTAGGTGCCTGTGGACTTCCTGGATGCCATCTCGGCATCCATGGCTGCCTGCCACTGAGAGCAGTAAGGACCCGTAATCGCCTCTGCGTAAGAGCGCGGGGTCGGGATGTCTGGAGCATCCGGGTCTCCCTCAAGGGCAAGCAGCATGGAAGTGAAACGAGGTACAGCAGCTGCAAGAGACTCAAAGTCCTCCTGCCTGTCCTCAAGGACGTCCGTGCCAAGAGCACACTCACCCCCGACGGACGGAGGACTGGCAGACGCAGACTCAGCAACAAGAGCAGTGGTGTAGTCTAGACGACAGGCAGCAGCAAAGTCAAGCAGCTCAGCAACGAGAGCAGACGCAGCAGTAGACTCAAAAGAAGGGTCAATGACAGCAGTGGCGAGGAGACGAGAGACAGTGGGACTGGCAGCATGAGCGCGGTCAGACTCAGGGTCAGGGACCGCAGGAAGAGAGGACTCAGGAGGAGCAGGCAGAGGAACACGTAGAGGAACAGAGGAAGGACGAAGGGTCATAGCGTGCGTGGCAGGGAGAGGAGGAGGACGTGAACGAGGAACGCGACGAGCAGTGCGAACAGGCGAGACAGGACGAGACGCAGGCTCACGATGCTCTGTAAGACCGCCGGACTGCTCAGTGTAAGGAGAAGGAGCAGGCAGAGGAGAGGCCGGCTGTAACGGTGGCTGCGACTAGTTAGGCGGGGGACACGGGAGGGGAGGAGTAAGGGCAGCAGAAGGCGGGGTACCAAGAACCTGCTGGAGCAGGGGAACGAAGTACGGTCGCGGCAGCACAGCGCCACCAGGATCAACAGCTCCAGCTCCTCCAGCTCCTCCAGCTCCAACACCTCCAACACCATGGCCTCCAACTCCAGCGCCTCCTACGCCAGGAGCACAAGACTCCGTAAGGTCTCCAGCTCCAATACCCTCAACACCACCAGTCTCGGAAGCTCCAGTACCTCGGGTACGAGCACCTCCAGGATCAGTGGTCGCAGTACCTCCAGTAACACCAGCTCCAGCAGCAACTCCAAGACCTCCAGCTCCAGCAGGGCCAGCACCTCCAGCTCCAGAAGCTCCACTCCGAAGGCGCGTACGCCGAACAAACCACTCACGTAGCTGCAGCAGAGACAGGCTCGGCGAAGCACCAGCAAAACCTCCAGACGAATCAGCACCCAGAGGCTCCGCACCTCCAGACTCCGCACCCTCCGACACAGCACCCCCGGGCTCAACACCCTCAGGCTCAGGACCACCAAGCTCACCACCCCCAGTCGCAACACCCCCAGGCTCACCACCCCCAGTCTCAACACCCCCAAGCTCAGCACCCCCAGTCTCAGCACCCTCTGACTCTTCACCCTCAGGCTCCGCACCCCTAGACGCAGCACCCCCAGACGCAGCACCTCGAGCAGCACCTGAGTCGACAGCTATCTGAACAGGCGCGGGACCAGGGAGAGGGTCTACCTGAGACACACCTGAAGGAGCAGGACCCTGGGGCGGGAGGGGGTCTACCGAAGGGGGACCGGGAGCAAGGAAGAGGAAACTTCGAGGAACCTTCGTTCCCGATACCCTCGCATTCAGGGTCCACCGAACGCATACTCTGCATAGACATAGTCCGCAAGTACACTACTCTGAGACTAGTTATAAGATTTCAGGGTTCGATAAGTAACTTTTCTGATTGGATCAGAGTTCACAAGTTAAAAAAACTGAAATTGCAGGGCCCAGCAGTTGAGAAGCCTGTAATCACCCTGAAATCAGGGTAATTACCCTGATAAAATCAGCCCTGTCTGGACCCTGTAAAATTTCGATTCGATTCAACTTACGAGACTGAAATGTACAATTTGGTTCGTTGAAGTTGTATTTTATGTATTTGTCGTTATATAAGCGCCGGCGCTTATGGCCGATATTCAATTACAAGTGCCCCCCTTTAAAAAATTGATTTTATTATAAGCGCATATGCGCTACTATCCGGGGTAATACGGTACACTGATACCGAATCCTCTTGTGCGAGGACATCCCTGCGAAGCCGCAAGACGTCGTAACCGCCGACGGGATTCGAATCTGCGACCATCACATGGATAGCCAATATCTAATCAGCTGAGCCATATCCTGTAAACAATTTCATGATCAATAATTTATGTTGTTTTAGGCTGTTTTGTCAGAATGTTATTGTATACATCACTTTATAACTGCCTGCAATGTAGACTTAGTGTAGTTACCTTGCTTGTTAGGTGGTGCACCTTGCTTCACTTCTTTCATATTTGTACCCTTGAACCTATAGTGAAACTCTCATTCTCCTTCCACAAACTTTCTCGACACTCTCCTCACCCTCGAACTTAACTACCAAGGCTCCTAAACTATGGCTCCTAAGCCAAACTCACGCTAGTATTTTAATATGGAATCAGAGCGACTACGCTCTTGGCCTGTGGGCCCCACGTGCTTCCGCTGCTTTCTTTTCTGTCGCGCGCCCCGTGGCGCGCGACACTTTTTTCTTCCCGCCACGCGCCCCGAGCGCGTGGCGGTTTTCCGCACGCCGTGCGCCCCGGACGCGCGGACGCCGCCCTTCTCGGCCCCTCACGGCCTCTTCGCGGCCCCGTCGCTGCTACTCTCACGGCCCCTCACGCTACCCTCAGTGGCCCCGTCGCCACACTTCGCGGCCCTGTCGCCGCCCCATCTCGGCACCGTCGCCGCCTTTAGCGGCCCCGTTGCCGCCCCTAGCGGCTCCGTTGCCGCCCCTTGTGGCCCTGTCACCTGCTCGTCGCGGCGCACCCCCCCCTGGCCGCCGCCTCTGCCTCCCTTGCGCCCGTGCCTGCTTTGCAGCAGCGCGCGGGCCTGCCTTGCAACAGCAGCCGCCCCTGGAGCCGCCGCTGCGGCAGCCGCCCCTGGAGCCGCCGCCCCTGGAGCAGCCGCCGCTGCAGCAGCCGCCCCTGGAGCCGCCGCCCCTGGAGCAGCCGTCAATGCAGCAGCCGCCCCTGGAGCCGCCACTGCAGCAGCAGCCCCTGGAGCAGCCGCCCCAGCAGCAGCCGCCCCTGGAGCAACCGCCGCTGCAGCAGCCGCCCCTGGAGCAGCCGTCACTGCAGCAGCCGCCCCTGGAGCCGCCACTGCAGCAGCAGCCCCTGGAGCAGCCGCCACTGCAGCAGCCGCCCCAGCAGCCGCTACCCCTGCAGCAGCCGCCCCTGGAGCGGCCGCCCCTGCAGCAGCCGCCCCTGGAGCAGCCCTCAACCGCAGCAGCCGCCCCTGGAGCAGCCCGCACCTGCAGCAGCCGCCCCTGGAGCAGCCAGCAACTGCAGCAGCCGCCCCTGGAGCAGCCCGCACCTGCAGCGGCCGCCCCTGGAGCAGCCCGCACCTGCAGCCCGTCCCGTTCCCCCCCCCCCCCCCCCCCACCCCCCCGTGCATTCCGTGGTGCTGGGGGTGTGGGGTGCCGAGCATGGGGGTGGCGGGTGTGGGGGTGGCGGTTCTGTGTTCCTCCCCTTGCTCCTCCTCCTCCCTCGTCTCCCACTGCTGCAGCTGTCGCTGAGGGGGGTGGGTGTGTGGGAGCCTAGGGTTTAGGGTTTAAGGGGGGTGCTGTGGGAGTGGAGCTAGGGTTTGAACAGGGAGTGTGTGAGAGGGGAGTGGGGCAGCTGGGGGAGGTTGTGTGAAGGTAGCTGTCGTGTCGCCTGCAGCGCCTGTAGTCCGTCGCCCTTGCTTCGGTAGCCAGTGAGCCTGTTGCACCAGTCGCCAGTGGGTCCGTTGCTCCTGCCGCTCGTCTATAGCCGCGGAGCCAGTCACTCCAGTAGTCCGTCGCCCTTGCTTCGGTAGCCACTGAGTCAGCCGCTCCTGTGCCCGTGCCTCTGCAGCTTCAGTCGTTGCCTCGCATCTTCTCTTCCTCCACAGTCTCTCCTCCTCATTTGCCCTCTCTGTCTGCTGCGCTCTACTTGGTGTACCCCTTCCGGGGGTGTTTCTGCACATGGTTCTTCACTGCAGGCAGTTAGGGGGTGTGTCAGAATGTTATTGTATACATCACTTTATAACTGCCTGCAATGTAGACTTAGTGTAGTTACCTTGCTTGTTAGGTGGTGCACCTTGCTTCACTTCTTTCATATTTGTACCCTTGAACCTATAGTGAAACTCTCATTCTCCTTCCACAAACTTTCTCGACACTCTCCTCACCCTCGAACTTAACTACCAAGGCTCCTAAACTATGGCTCCTAAGCCAAACTCACGCTAGTATTTTAATATGTTTTTGGCATGGTATGAAAACATTTACCCTGTGAGTCAGGGTAGAGCTGGCCTGAAACCCTGATTAGCCAGGGTGGGCCAAAACCAATTTTGGGCCCCCGCCCCCACTAAAAAAATCGATTCCATTAGAAGCGCATATGCGCTACTATCCAAGGTGATACGGTATCACGCCTAGTTTTGATTTTCCTAACGACTAATACCCTAGTTGTGGAGGAACATGCCTATTTAGTAACCACTAGGCCAATACCGTATGTTCGTAAGGGAGGCAAGAGAAGAGAGTGCACCTTGCTCTCCGTCTAAAATGTTTTCTTGACCCTCGCGGGCATGAATCTTTTTTTGTTTTTGTTTTTGTTTTTGATTTTTTTTTTCCGGTTTCCTTCCCTTATCGGCTGTTACAGTAATTATGCCATGGCTGCTTAATAGAGCGAGCAAGTAGGACCCAGGCCCCCGAATTGCTTCGTGCGTAGGCTGGAAAATCAGAGGCTGTACTGGGACGCGGTAGCCGGTTAAGGCAGAACGTGTGCTTCGCGATGCCGTTTATCAGAACTCTAAGCTGCTGGTTTGCTGAGAAGGGTGTGATTGCAGTGAAGCAGCCAGGTGTGGTTGGGACATGAGGGAACAGGTGAGGCGGAATCGTGCCCTGATGTGCGCAAGGAGAGAGTCAAATCGTTCATCCTGCGACAAGTGCAGTTGGGCAGAGAAGAGAATGGGGGGAGGAAGATGGATAGAGCGAGACCGGGTGAGGGAGAGCAGGTCGAGTCAGTCGTCCAGTGACTAAGTGCAGTGGGGCAGAAAGGAGAAAGAAGCGGGAAAAGATGTGCAGGGAGAGACCAGGTGACAAAGAGCAGGTGAGGTGGAATCGCGCTCTGAGGTGCCATACGTGTAACGGGAATGTCAAAGCGTCCGCCATGCAACAAGGAATATTGACGGGGTCAGCGGGAAGGGGATATGGGATCAGTCTCCGCTATCTGACAGGAGATTACCACAGCGCTTGTTTTGTGAAAAGTAGTTGGAGGGTGCGGTACAATGCAGTGGGATGAGGTAGGATGTGACAGGATGAGGTGGGATGAAGTGGAATGAGGCACATATTAGGCACCATAAGAAGTCTGTGCGGAGGACAAAAGCGCGTGCAGTTCACACGGATAAGAGAAAAGTACATTGAAGTTATCATGGGTTTTATGTTGCACTAAAGGTCCCCTAGAGAATGTGACGAATGGGCAGTTCACTAGGGAAGACGTGGGTGGGGAGGGAGTGGGGGGTATGAATGGTGGTGCGAGATGGGAGAGGGAGGAGCGAAAGGGGAGCTTGGGCAAAAGTGACGGGGAAGGGATGAAGGGAGAGGAGGAAGGTAGGCTGTTAGTTGGAGAGTTGTGATGTGGCGTAGTGCTGCAACTGTAATACCTGCAGTTTGAAAATCCACTCAAAGCATGATGTGGGTGGAGTGCAACTGAAGAAGCTGTTGTAACTCATTCGAGGGTTCGTGAGTGGGAAAGTGTGAGACGAGTTGTTGCCACTGTGTTGTGAGGCGTTTCAGAAACACAAACTGGATGCTCCTGCTGTAACTCATATCAACGGTCGGGTCTTGAGTTAAGATGGGTTAGACCAAACGGTTGCTCTGAACTGAACTCACTTCGGGGTTGGTTATGGGGAAGTCGGATATGAGTTGCTGCAGCTGGTGCACGGCTTTGGTTGCCCTGCAGGTGAGAGAAGAATGGTAGGCGTGGAGGGATGGGAGGGATGCGTGGGGAAGAGGGGGAAATGGTAACGGGGAAGTCGATATGCGTTGCTGCAGCTGGTGCAAGGCTGTGGTTTTCCTGACAAGGAGAGAAGCACTGTAGAGATGGGAGGGATGGACGGATGGGAGTGATGGCAGGGGTAAGGGGGGGTTGAGGGGAGGGCGAGATGCGGGGTATGGGGGGAACGGGGGGATGGGGGGATAGAAGGGATGGAGGGATCGGGGGGAGGGATGGCAAGATTAGCAGGGGTAGGAATGGTGACAGGAAGGGTGAGAGGAATGGGAGGGACGAGAGGGATGGAGAGAAGCGGAATCGAATTGAGGATGGGAGGGAAGCATAGGATGGTGGGACTGGGGAAGTGCAAGATGAGCTGCCGTACACCTTTGGGTTAGGGAGACAAAAAGCAACCGGATTTGAGGTTTGAGACTTGATAGTTATTGCAGGGGGATACGGGAGCGACAGGAAGGGTGGAGGGAAGGGACGGAGATGGGAAGGATGGGAAGAACGCAATGGGAATGAGGCGCTCCCCAAACGGGATGGGAGGCGCTGCGATGGTGGAGGTGGAAAGATGAGGAGCAGGAAACGGGATGGGAAGAGAAAATGGAAACAGAATAAGTGGCAGGGGAGGTATGGAAGGACACGGAGTAAGTGGCATGAGGACCCACCAGTGAGGATTAAAGGTGGAGTCTCGCCTGGGGGAGAATCGTGTGGACGGGGTTGACTGGATGACCTGCTTCCACGCAGCTGCACAACCCCACATGAAGCCCAGCTCGTCCCCTGATGGTGGTGTGGGATGGGGTGGAGTGGGGTGCGGAGCGGTGCGGTGGGATGGGACGGGATGGGATGGGATGGGATGGGGTGGGGTGGGGTGGGGTGGGGTTGGGTGGGATGGGATGGGATGGGGTGGGATGGGGTGGGTTGGGATGGGGCGGGGTGGAGTAGGACGGGATGAACTGGACTGTGTGGGACGGGGCAGGCCAGGGCGGGATGTGGCGGGAGTGTTCCAGAATGCTGCATGCTGCATGGTGTATATTCCATGATACATGGCACATGACGCGCATTGCGGCATAATGCACAAGTACAATAATGATGCATTATGAACGCTATCTTATAACCCCCCTGCGTGTCTTACTAGTTACGAGTAGGCCTAATTGCTCTGCCATAGCCAGATCAACGGGCTCCAATATCGTAAGTCAGCTCGTGTGGTGTAGGACGCATGATATGCATTGCGTACATCGCTGCACACCATGTGCGTACGGAATTCCACCCACCTATCATGAACCCATGCGCCAAGCCCGTTTCTCTCCCCTCTTCCCTTCCCAATCGCAGGCCGTCCCTGTCAATCAAGACAAAGTGAGGGCAGCCGATGACATCACTCCGGGTTGGAGGGGAAATGGAGACGAGGAGGAAAACGCATGGTGACGAGAAGGGGAAACGCAGGTGACGAAAAGAGGAAAACGCATGGTGACGAGAAGGGGAAACGCAGGTGACGAAAAGAGGAAAACGCATGGTGACGAGAAGGGGAAATGCAGGTGACGAAAAGAGGAAAACGTATGGTGACGAGAAGAGGAAACGCAGGTGAGGGAAAAACGCATGGTGAGGATGTAATAGCTGTGTCTGGATTGATTATATCATATAGCTTCTGAGTCAACTCAAAAGTCATATCTCAAGTGATGGAGAGTGTTACAAGATAGGGTTCCCCATGCCAGCGTGCATGGGAACACCCGAACCGTTACAACTCCCTCTGCCTAGCTAGCTCCGAATAAGGATAGGTGTTAGCCTCGGAGAACACTCGCTTATCCTCATCAGCTATTAGAAGCTACCAAAATATAACAGGGCATGGCGTCGAGGCGCTATGCCAAGATGCCATGCGAAGAGCGTGGCGATGCGGTTTTCCTTCCGAGCCGCGCTTCCTCCTTCCTAGCATAAGTAGCTTCTCTCAATCTTGTGGTATATTGGATCCTTGTATCATCTCCTTCTTATTCTTGATCTTGAAGCTACCCTCTCCTGCGGTCTCACTCGCCTTCTTTTCTGGAGCTAGGCTTCTCTAGCTTAGCTTTCTTCTCTTCCGCTGCGACGCTACTATAATCTTCTCTTCTAAGCTACGGCGCCGCTCCTTAGTCGCCATGGCCGGCCAGGCCAGCCGCGCCGCCATGCGTGGCTGCGCGCCGTAGCCTTGTTTCAGAGAGGGTCGCAACTAGTGCGATGAGAACGCAACAACAGCCCGACTTATTAAATCGCAATGACGAAGTGCGAGAATGGTTTGACAAACGGAGAGAGGAGTATGCTGTGATTCGTAACTTCCGCTAACGTACAAGCGGTGGAAGAAATGAGGGATAAGTGACGAAGGTGCTCACTGATATCCCTCGGCGTGGCCCTGCGCTAATAACTGCTCTTCTAAGCCAACCACCGCATCTAAATCCATACGTTTCCCTAATGTCGCCAGAAATCGCGGCGAATTCGATGCTAACAGCAAGAAACAACACGTTATAGATTGAGGCTCAGCGTCGCAGAAACAACCCTAATTGGTCTGGAAAGCGACACGTCCGATTAGGTTCCTAAAATTGAGGCGCGACGAAGGCCTTATTGCAAGGCGCGACGAGGGCCACATGCCAGGGATACTCTTTACGTGAGGAACAGAGTATAACGCCTCGCTAACTCACTTGAAAACAGGGTGGTAGTGACTTTGAAGGCTAGAAACTTGGCTGGAAAGGCTCAACTAAGGGCGTGTCCAGCGCTTGCATTTTTTGTTATTCAGTACCATCTCAAGATTCGCAGTTCATGACAAGGCTCGACGATGAACGTCGTAAGGGTTGCGTAGAAGCTGAATATCTTACTAAAGATAAACGCAACACCGTTATATATAATAAAATTCTTTTGTTAGTTTATTTTTCCATCCTCTTAGGTATATCCGTATCCTTATCCCACCCTCTAAAGTCGTTTTTATTATAATTATTGCATTTTCTTCTCTATATTACACAAAATGCTCAATCATATAGAATTCTGACTGAAGAATATCAGCATGTACTATGTGGTTACTTATGGTGTAGATCAATGATTTGCATGAAATGTAGTGCATCCTTGTGATTTACAAGCACCTGTGACAAACGGCATGTTTTGTGAGTACAAGAGTGATAGGCGCGTTAGGTGCCTTAAACGCTGGCGCCTTGGTGCCATGAGCGCTGGCGCCTTGGCGCCTTAAACGCTGGCGCCTTGGTGCCATGAGCGCTGGCGCCTTGGCGCCTTAAACGCTGGCGCCTTGGCGCCATGAGCGCTGGCGCCTTGGAGGCTTAAACACTGGCGCCTAACTCGCTGGCGCCTAACGCGCTTGTGCCTTGCAGCCCGCTGGCGGCTTGTGCGCTGCTACCTTGTTGCGGCAGCGCGCTGGCAAATCATTGCGCATGCTCACTCGTTGCTGCAGTGAGCTCACGCGTTGCTGCCGTGTGCTCACGCCTTGCTACGGCAGCCCGCTGTGCCTTGCTGCAACTCTCCGGCGCCTTGTAGCATGGCGATGCCCAGCTCGTTGCTGACTGGAGCCTTGCTGCACACCAGCGTGGTGTGCGTGACCTCATGGGATCTATGTTTCAAACCACGCTTGTGAGTCGTCAAATTTGGTTTCTTTCGTTGCAAGAATTGCGTTTCATTTCTGTTTTGTATCAATGTTCATCGGTACTTTCATTTTGTACTTATCAGATTTCAACACATACGTGCTTATCAAGTTCCATTTCACGATCAAGTATGTGCTCATCATTGAATAATTCACTGCGTTCTCCGACGACAATTCATTTTTTACTTGACTTGTTTGTTTTGCAAGGTGTGTAAGACGCGTTGTGGGGAGCAGGGAGGGGAATGCGAGAGAGAAGACAATGTGGAAAAGGGTGGGAGGAGATTTTGAGGTAGAGGGAGAGGAGAGAAGGCGGAAAGGGGGAGGAAGGGGGGACAAGCTAGCAATGATTGATACATAATGAATTGATTGCAACTCTTTGTTACCGTAAGGCCCCGGATAGTAGTGTCAGAATGTTATGTTTGTCTAGCCTGCTGTGGGGTACTCAATAGTGAGTACAGCCCAATTTAGGGTTTGCTATATGTACTCAACTGCTTGCTAGTGCAACCTCTCTTTCTCATTTCTAACTTTCAACTGTTATTCCCACATGGAATCAGAGCAGGTCGACCCTTATGGGTCGATCCTGTGCATGGGCCCACCATTGTCTTCCGCTGCTATACTGTCTATCGCGCGCCTCGGGCGCGCGCTGCCTGTTTGCCTGCCGCGCGCCCATGGCGCGCGGCCCTTTTTCTTCCCGCCGCGCGCTCGAGGCACGCGACGCCTTACTCGACCCCGTCGCGGCCCCGCCCTGGCCCTCCCCCGTAGCTTGTCGCGGCCCCGGCCCCTGCCCTGCCCCGGCCCTGCCCTGGCCCCGCCCCGACCCTGTCGCGGATCTGTCCCGGACCTGTCGCGGCCTCGCCCCGGCCCTGTCCTGGCCCTGCTCCGGCCCTACCCCGGCTCTGCCCCGGCCCTGCCCCGGCCCTGCCCCGTCGCGGCGCCAATTGGGGCCCGCGCGCGGCCCCCCCCAGGGCGCCGCGACGGGCGACGGGAGGGGCGACTGAAGGGGGCCCTGCGTCGGCCCCCCTTCCTGTCTTCGTCGCGGCCCTGCCCCCCCCCCCGTACCCTCCCTACCCGCCATCTACGGCCCTGCCCTGTGTTAGGGTTTGGGGGTGGCGGGTGGGGGGTGGCGCGTGTGTGGCGTCACCTGCTCCTCCTCCTACTTCGTCTCCCACTGCTGCAGCTGTCGCTGAGGGGGGTGGGTGTGTGGGAATGGACGGAGTGGTGCTAGGGGGTGGAGTGTGAGTGAACCTAGGGGTGCAGCAGGGGGTGTGTCATAGGGGGGTGGGACAGTTTAGGGAGGTTGAAGGGGGGTGGCCGCCGTGAAGCCAGCAGCTCCAGTCGCCCGTGAGCCCGTTGCGCCAGTCGCCCGTGAGCCCGTTGCTCCAGTTGCCCGTGAGCCCGTTGCTCCAGTTGCCCGTGGGTCCGTTGCTCCTGCCGCTCAGAGTTAGCCGCGGAGCCATTTACTCCAGTAGCCCGTGTGCCAGTTGCTCCAGTTGCCAGTGTGTCAGTTGCTCCAGTTGCCCGTGTGCCAGTTGCTACAGTTGTGCCGTGTGCCAGCAGCTTCAGCTGCTGCCCACTACCTCCTCTCCTCTCATCGTCCCTCCTTCTACTCACTTGCCCTCTGTTATATCCTCTAGCTTTGCTTATATTTGTGAACTATAAACTGCTACTTCTTGTACTTGTGCTCAGAATGTGTGGTGACATTGTGATCCACCCTGAGCTTGTTTGCTTTGCTTGTTGTGCCGATTACACCTCACTCTGGCTATGGGGATGTGTCAGAATGTTATGTTTGTCTAGCCTGCTGTGGGGTACTCAATAGTGAGTACAACCCAATTTAGGGTTTGCTATATGTACTCAACTGCTTGCTAGTGCAACCTCTCTTTCTCATTTCTAACTTTCAACTGTTATTCTCACAAGTAGCGCCCCTGGGGGTATAAAAAAACACTGTTTTTTAGGGGTGCGCTTATACTCGAGGTTTTTTATAAGCGCTGGCGCTTATATAATGACATTTAGGAAATGCGTATTTCTTACACCAAATTGTATATCACGTTCTTGCAATTTGAATCGAGTCGAAACTATACAGGGCTGGAATTGAGAATCTCGCGCCAGTTGGCAGGGAATGATTCCCTGCCAACACACCCAGTCAGAATGAGTCAACTTACACTGCCGACAGCTCATTCTGACTGGACGCGCAGGCACTGAGCCGAGCGAGGTGAAGGGCTTCGAAATTCAATCATGTGGGAATGGAAAATGTGAGTTTCGTTACAACGATTTCAGTACAATTATAGCAAAACAAAACAGAGGGTGGTGCTTATAATCCGTAAGCCTTCAGGGGTGGGCTTATAATCGAGGACCGGATATAAGCGCCGTCATCCTTTTATAAGCGCCAGCGCTTATCCGAGGCCTGCACTTTTATCCGGGGGCTTACGGTATGCTTGTCTGCTCTCAATCCTATTTGTGTATGCATGTGTGTGCGGGTGTGTTTGTGCGGGTCGGTTTGTGCGGGTGTGTTCATCTCAGTTGGTTGTTTCACAGGGGGTTGTTGTGCTGATATGCATCGTGTTTGTGATCTGAGGTTGTCATCGTCGTTGGGGCAGCGTGTATTCGCTGTTTCAACGACCCCATCAATCTCAGTTGCAACATTGGTGTATGTTGCAACAATTTCAACCCTAAACCATTGTGCAACATCAATTTGTTCACAACCTTTACGTGGTGTTGTACCCTTTTACGAG